TCTAGAGGTTAGTTATAGCCAGAGTGCTTATGTATTTCATTTTAGTTTTAACCAATGGTTTAGGTTTTTCGACAGTCAGGGGAAGGCAGAGATCCCAATAGTGCCTGAGGGCACTGGGCTGTCTTCAGCCCTGCCAGAAGACTGAAAATTGGAGAAAGTGGCTGAAGCTTAGCAAAGGTGAGAGCCAGACCAGGCCATGGGGAAGGGCAGAATCAGGGCCAAGGGCCCACAGCCTAGACAGGTGAGAATTAGGGCCAGGGCCCAGCAGTCCAGGAAGGGCAAAGACTGGGCCAGGGGACCCAGCCTGAGAAGGGTGGAGTCAGTGCTAGGAGCCCAGTACCAGAGAAGGGTGAGATTGGGGCTAGGGACCCAGCACAAAGGACACAGCGGGTAGAGATACTAATGACTGACAGGGCTGAGGCTGAGATAGCGGGACCCAAATCTGTGCACCAAGACTAGAGTCTTGCAGCCAGAGGAAAGGCGCAGAGGCTGAAAAGGCTGAGGGCCCAACAAGGAAGTGATCATATAGTAACTCTGGGAGGCATGGGCATGGTGTAAGGGGTGGTTGGAGCCACATAATAGCCCTTAAGAATACAGGTACCCCAGGGGGTGGGGGGAGGACAGGGGGAACACAGGCAAATCAGGACCCAGTTAGCCCAAGAAGGGCAGAACTGAAACCAATGGGGTTCAGGAGGGACCTGCTGCCAGCTAGAAGAACTGGGGCTCACCCTAGGACCCTTAGGCAGCCTCCCTTTCAATCAAACAAATGCATCAAGGCATGGCAGACACATGAGAAGGGGAGGGCACCCTAGAGCTGGAGCAGGGTAAGGGCTGCGTTGTTACCAGGGGGTGTCACAGCCACCTCTGGAACATGAACCTTGCTACAATCACTTTTTTTTTCTTCAAATTCTTGCTCATATCAACCACTGGTATTTTTTCTGGACCAGTTGTGCTTTCTCCCACATGTAACAAAAATGTAAATTAAAATGTAAAATAAGTATAAATTCAAATATATCCTCAGATAGTGAGCTTCAAAATGTATTTATTCCCATGAAAAATAGGAATATCTTGAGAAACTGTCTATGGATCATTCTGCATTTGCCTTGAGTAGTCATTTGAGAACATCTTTTCCCTCTTTTTCTTCATCTCATTATCCACATTCCTGGCTACTAATCCAGATCCACCATGCTGCATTAATCTTCATCCCCTACAAGAGATTCGGTTTCTACTGAACCAAAGCTTTCTCTTAAAGAAAAAAAAGTGTATGCTACTTGTGGTTGTACAAAAAATATTCTAAACTCATGGTGCTATCTTACTTCTATGGAGCAGCAGCCAGCACTAGCCAGACTTCTCCTGACGCTACAATGTAACACAATTTTAAAAACTATGAGTAAAATAGAGAGTGAAGCACAAGTTCCAATGTCTTAGCCATGTTGAGAACCAATGTGGTCCAGTGCACCAAGATCTGGATGGGGAATTGGGAGCCTGGAGCTATGTTCCTAAGGTTGCCAATGCATGTGACCTTGGGCAGTTATTTTGGCCCAGAACCTATTTTCTGATTATGCATTTAAGTCTCCCATATGCATTCACATAATTGCCATTGTTGTCACTTATGCACAGTGGTATTCTGCACACCCCATGCTAATCTACTGAGCATGAACAGCAGGCCACATTTGAGCTGTAGAGCAGCATAGGGAAAACAGAATTGCCCAGGCATACATAAGTCTAAGCTGCAAATATTAAACCAATAAACAAGTGAATAGGCATTCACTTTTGATTCAGGAAATGCAGCCACATGCCTGCAGTGACTCAAGCTAAAAGCCAGGGGGCACTACAGCATGGCTTTAGTATGTAGCCAACATGGGGTATGTATTTGCTTCCTCTTCCTGCTGCCCCCGAGGTCACTGGGATTTGCACCACAGTCACAGTAGCAAGACTCTGCAGGATTGCTCATCACTTCCTTTTCCTGCTTCCAGGTACCTTTTGGATTTGTAATTCACAGTCACAGCCAGCAGTAAGTTTAGCAAGTCAGGGCAGCTCCATAGTTGGGAGAGAGAAGTTTAGCCTCCCTCCCTGGCCCCAGACTCCAGCTGGGGTTTGCCTGGGTGGTATGGGGGCGGGCAGTGAGCCAGCCAGTGAGGCCAGTAAGCCACCCCTCACTGGTCTGGCTAGAGACCAGAGGGGCAGGGCCAGCCCTGTTCTCTGGAGCAGATAGCTCAGCCCAGCCCAACCCAGGGCTGCAAAATGCTGGGATGCTGGGGGACTCAGATTTAACTTGAACCAGGAAGGGGTCTGGGGCAGAAGTTGCATAAACCGCTTTGACCTAAATCAGTTAAGTCTGATGCTACATTCAACCAAGTTTATCTTAAACCAGTTTCAATCAGTTTTAAAATTGGTTTATGTGCACTGAACTTCTATTCTGTTAGAAGTTTTAACCAGTGTCTGATCACTTAAACCAGTTTATGTGTAACTTCTGTCCCTAGTGTTGAAGAGCACTCACTTGGCAGCCAGGAGGGGAAGACATATGGGGTAAGGAGGAAAAACAAGCCAGAGGGTGTGTGGCTCAGTGAGGTGACTGCTGCCCTGGAAGGGAAGGGGGCTCTGGGCTTTAGCCCACACCCACTCCTGATAAGACAGAAATATCCCACTACCGTTTATACTTTCATATAGTAAAAGTAAGGTGCAGTGGACCAGCTTCAATGGGAAGGTAGAAAAGTGCTTTGGACAATGGCTTGGGCCCCCTTCTGCAGCGCTACACAGTCATGGAGATGTAATAGTTGCATCATAGCAGCTTATTCTTGTCCTTTAATATTGACACAATTGTTACATCTGTCTATCACCTGAAGCAACTTGCTGGGTAAGGTTCTATTCTATAAAAGTTCATAGTATCTGGTCCTTCGTTTCATAACTGTAGGTCAGTTTTTCCATGTAATTTACATAGAAATTATAGCCACATAAAGATATGAGCAACCTTCACTTTCAATGCCTTATTTTCCTTTCTAGCAACAATTAGAGGAAAATAACACATGACCATGAGAGGAAATAACATGTGACAGCACTTGAGAAAGGGAAACTGGGGATTTTTTCTGTACAATATTTATCACCAACTTGGAGTCAAAAGATATAACTCCTAATGTGCATGTTCAGAAAAGCAGGTACTAAATGGAAATTGATGTAACCCAGAATCAGGGCTGAAATATGAGAAAAAACACATCTACCTTTATTCCCTATTAGCAAGCTCTTTTAATCTCAAACCTCATTTTTTGTTTTCAGTTCATAATGAAACTGTTTCCTAATGTCAGATTTTGCCTGCAAGGGTTTGTGGTCTGTTCTCATTACATTCTGTGGAAATAATTGTTAGAGAAGGGATTTTGGGAGGAAGATGGAAATGAAGTAGGCCTCAAAATTCACGTCAATCCAGATTTCAGGATTTTTATGATTCAAGGTCTGTTTTCTCTATTAGACTGACAGAGAATTCAAAATTTGTCAACGTGTTTTGATCCTGCATTTGCTCTGTACTGGGATGATGCATTTGGTAGGTGTTTCAGGGGAATAATAATGTATATATGTACTGAATGGTATCAGATACGAAATGTGACCTCAGAGAGGTCTAACTTTAATAGCCTCAGAGAGTTTCTGCCTTTCTGAAAAAACTAGAAGTATATTATATTTTGGTATTCCATTATCTAAATAAAACTTTCAGACTGACAGTCCCTTGCTAGGAAGAGACTTTTTGGCAGTTGCTAATGACCATAACATACGTAAGTAATTCTTTTTCTATTGAAGACTTGTGAAGAATTTTGAGTCAGCATTGTATTTTTTCCATCCCACAATATTTGGCAAATCCAATTCAGAAATCTCATCACTTTTTGTTTAAATAGTTCATTTGGAAATGCTTCACAAAGAAATCCTGAAATGATCTCTCGTAACCATTACTGCACTGAGTAACTTTACAGAGTTCAGTGTAAATGATTGTTTTTCAGAATGAGCTCAGTATAAAACAGCAGATGAAAGCCTTCTCAGCTGAGAGAGGAAGATGTCCCTTATCCTCACTGTTACTCCATCTTTTCTTTTTAGCAGTAACGTTCTTGTGACTTTTTTCCCTTTCATCATCTACCACCCAAAAAATTGTTGTTCAGTTTTAGCTATGCATGATTTTTCTCCTCATGATGAAGCTCTCTCTTCTCAGTCTCATAGGTCCACAGTTGTATGTGCAATGTTTTTTCTTTTTCTTTTTTTTTTGTTCCTTTCTGTCATAATTCGATTTCTACCTGGCTAATCACACACTGTGATACAGGGCATAGCTCATTATTTGGGTCAAGAAGTCACACAGAATTCAGTTCTTCATCCATCCTTTGTCATTTTTTGTCTAGTTCCATCTGTGTGTGCGCGTGTGTTTTAATCATTGTCATTAGTTTTAACCTCTACTTCCATACTGGGGATACTCCACTGTCCATATCTTTCCATTTGTCTAGGCTTCCATTTGTCTAGTATTGATTTCTTCCTTTCCCTTTCACGCAGCAGGATCCTGTTGTTGGATTCAGTAGATGCTCCAGTTAAGGTCTGATTTGCTATCACATCGCAATTTGAGTAGATGTCTGTATAAAGTGGATATAAAAATTCCACCACACTTTGGTAATGTTTTACACCAATTTTGCACTGTGGTAAATGACAATGTGTTGCAGGGCAACTACTCATATTATCATATTTTTAAATAAAAATTATGTTAAAATATTTTAATACAAGATCTAAGGTTTGCTGCTTAATACCTTAATGTTTCTGTGAGCTGCTGGATTTTTATTCTTTGGCTAGGCTGCCCTCTGCAGTAGTTCACCATAGTTATTAGCATTCACAATGCAAAGTAAACCTTCTCTGAATACTGTGCAGGAGAAGAAAACAAGGAGGGAATGGTGCTTGCAATAAACCACATATTTTCTCTCTAAAGCTCTGTCTTGCTATAGAGGAATCAGTTAATTTCATACCTCCTGGCTCTGGCACAGGTCACAGGGTTATTCCATGATCCAAGCATTGGCAATGCAATCCACATCGTGCTGGTCCGGCTTATTCTTCTTGAGGAGGAAGAGGTAAGATTTTGTTTCTCCCAGCTTTACAGTTAAGAAACTTGCACTGAGGGAAGACCTTGGCACGCTTTTTGGAGGAGGTGAGAAATGATGGCTTGGAAAAACCATGGCTTGTGTAAAAGTTATCATCCATTCGACTCCTGTATTAATCTGTTAATTTTGGTGTAGCTGTTTAAAGGCTAAATGCTGTGCTTTGTGGCACGTCACTTAGCTCACAGCTTCAGGTGCTGGTGTACAAACTCCTCAAAGTAAATTCAGATAATATGTCCAAATAATAGGCTGTTTTGGGGCGGGGGCGGGGAGAGAATCTCTTCAGTATCTTCAGATTTCTGGGCCACCTGATAAGGAGCAGAAATTCAAGTGTACAGGAATCACCTGCAGTCTAGTCACATAACCTTACCTGAGGCCATGAGTGGATCCAGGATTTACTCAAGGAGGGTGCAGCACACTGCCCCTCAGGCCATGGGGAGATGGAAGCAAGGTGTTGCTGGATCTCCTAAGCCAGGAGCTCCTGGGCCATCAGAAGACACTTGAGAGCTGGGCAGAAAGCAAGCATGTGAAGGCAAGACCCACCTCTTTGCTTGCCTCCTTCTGCTGTCCCTAGCTGACCTGCATGTGGGGGATTCCCTAGAGCCACTCCTGTGCTGCTCCAGCCAGGGGATGTGGGGAATGGTTGCATAGTGAGCTGGATTTGGCCATAACAGAGGCAATGGTGGCAGTGAATGGGTTCCTTCTTCCAGCACCTATTCCCTCTCCACCCCTCCCCTCCAAGTATCCAGTGCTGGCCAGGAGCAAGCACTAGAAGAAAGATCCTGTGTGCTGATGTAGCTGTCCATGGACAAGCCCAGCTCCCGACATAGCCACTCCCCACAGACCTCAGTTGGAGTAGGGCAGGGGTGGCTCTGGGGCTTCCTCCATGTCTGCATCAGCCAGGAACAGCGACAGCAGGGACATGTTCTTTCTTCCAGTGCTATGTCCTGTCCAGTGGGGGACATGGGTAGGATAGTGAGAGCGAGCAAGTGCAGGAAGAGGAAACTGCCCACTGCTACTGCTGTCCCCTGCTGAACCTGGTACTCCACCTTGAAAGAGTTTATTTTGCTTTACTACTTTGTTTATTCATCTTATGTTGATTTTATGCAGTTATAAGATGAGGAAGAAACCTCTTCTATGACTGCTCTTCATTTTTTGGAGAAATTTCTAACACATGGTATGAAGGAAATGTATCCTTACATGTTAAAAATGTTACCTGATCATGAGCTTGTTCCTGACACATCAGGAGTGACAAACGTAAGCATCAAATTGGCAGCAAATTAATCTACATCTTCTCTGTGTCAAGATGAATACTCACTTCCAAGGAGAAAATAAAATGTCATTTCTGAAAAAAAGCAATTGATAATTTAGTTTTATGAAAGCCACTTGCAAAAAAAATGCTAATTTCTTCTTTTGATTTTTGTTATCCCCCCTTTCATTTCACTAGTTGCAAAAATGACAAAGTTTCAGCTTAATGTTCAGGCTGTTAGACAAATAGCTGTCATTGCTTCTAATGATGGTTTTTGCTTCCGGCAAAAGCATAATCAGCTACATTTCAGTGACTTCAGTGAGCTTCATAATTAACATTGCTGCTGTGCTTTGGCAAATGCATAATATTTTCTTTCTTTTTCCTTTAGCAAGGTTTGAAAATTGTTCATCATGCAGATAAGACATTAGCCAGCTTCTGTAAATGGCAGAAGAGCATCAACCCTAAAAGTGATGTCAACCCTATACACCATGATGTGGCCGTCCTTATAACTAGGTACATCCACAAACCTAGAGACAAGCTGCCAAATATTATTTTACATCTTTTCTTTCAGATAATATCTTTATAGGCTACTATCCTCCTTTTATTCACACTGCAAGCTATCCTATAAAGTATAAGACCCAATAAAGATGCACCATTTCTTAATGACAATGTTAGTATAAAAATTGCTTTACACTAATATATCACACTTTGTAGCAGATGAGATGTATGATGTGTTATAGATTAATAAATGTTGTCAAGGTTGGAAAGTGCTAAAATTGCCCTTCTATGCATTTTTAAAGGATGGCTACATCTCAAAATACACGTAATTCTTCATACATGTACATGGGCTTTTTGTTAGAGATGGACCATTGGCTAGGGAACTGATCTATGAAGCCTCAGTGTCCCCAGAGATCAATAATTTTGAGAGGCATAAAACTCTAGTTCTCCAGTTTAGGTCTTTCTCTCTCAATGAACGCTATGTTCATAGTAACTTTTTTTGAACCAACTGCATGGCTGGGATAGACAGGCAAGTTTTCAGGCACTGTAATACGTTGAGGTCCCAGGGATGGCCATGATGCCTCTGCCTGCCTCAGGCTCAGCTGCAGCCCTTCCCTCGAATCTTGCCCACCACCTTGCTCTTAATGAAGATTATAAAAGGGAGGCTGCCTGTGGGCTCTACACGAGCCCAAGCCTGTGTTGATCCTCACTGGGCCTCTCCTGGGTCCCCTCAGTCTAGTGCCCCCAGGCTAGCAGGCCCTCTCAGCCTGTCTGTACTCCTGCCGCGCACCGGTCACCTTAAGGGCTCCTTGCATGGCTTCTTACCTTCCCTACACCATGCCCTAAGCCTTACGGGTGTTCACTCTATTATGCTGTCTATTCATACACTTGCCCCCCTCGGGCCTTTGGACCCCCCTGGTACCTTACACCATCTCCTCCTGGTCTCTCTAGTCCTGTGTGGTGCCCCTTCTCTAGGCTCCTGAACCCCTGCTCCTGCATGCAGCCCTTCCCTGGGCACCAGGACCCTCTGTGGGCTCAAAATAAAACAAAGGCTGCTTGCCTGTAAAAACTCAGTCCTTCTCTGCCCAGGGGGCTTGCCTCTGCTCCCAAGCCTGTGGAGTTGTTTCTAAGTTGCACTCTTTTCAGGAACCCTGCTGCCCAGAGCTCCTCACTTTGTGGCTGCCAAGGAGAGACCCCCAAGTGGCTCAGGCTCTGAACTTATATAGCTCCAGCCTGAGCTCTCTTCCCGTTAGGTGAGCCCCTCATCAGCTCCCTGCACCACCTGCAAGCAGCCTCACAAGCTGCTTGCTCCCTTAAAGGAGGAGGCATAGCCCTGTGCCCTGCTACAGCACCTCAGGGCACTTCCTCAGGCATTAGTACCCAGCCATGCCGTTCAATTAAAGATATCACCCACCGGAATCATTGCTTCTCAGATATTTCCTGGACCATCATGGCAACAAAATCACCTCAACACTACCGAATACTATGATTATGTTCTTTCCTTCCGGGAAAAATGCCAGCCCAGCCCAGTGTACAGATGAGCAGCCCTATAATTGCAGAACCCTATGATTCCTCAGAATAGATGGATATTTTGTTGCTAGGACCATGTAATTCATTTTCAGCCTCTCAAGTTACATGGTTGTAGATATAAAAAAAAATCTCAATGGTGTCTTTTGAATTGCATTTCATAGTGGGAGGCATCATCCATTATGTTCATTTCAAGGCATAAACAGTGCACACCATCTAATTCCAGTTGCCTTTAAAGTTCAGTAAATATTCATCCCAGTGAACTTGTGCCTGAAGGACTGAGTTGCTCTTTGTGTCTGCTGAATATCCATGGGTGCTTGTATGTATGAGGAGGGGGGTTAGTTCCCCGACATTGAAAATGGTGGGATTGTAATTGGTGGGTTTTTAATTGTGAAAAAAATGTTTTCATTTAAGGGCTTCCATCACTATTATCGAACAGTGATGACCCACCAGCAGCTCAGCTCACCACCCTGCCCCCCCTCCTTCCCCTTGGCCATGGGCAAGCTCTGCCGAAAAAAAACCTTCCAAAAGAACAGCAAGGGGCCAGATCATTTTTTTTTCTCATGGAGCCTGCCCACTTCTCCCACCGCTGGGAAGAGAGCTGCCATCAACCCGAGATGTGGAGGGGCCCGCTCCATGGGGCCACCTGGGTAGGGTGGTAGCTACATAGGTACTGCCCCAGCTCAGAGGCAGCACCTGCTGGATCCAGCTCTTCCCTGAGCCTGTGTGAGGAACAGCGCCTGGGGGTGCCACTGCCATGAAGGGAAGGACTGGACCGCCCCCCCCCCCACAGCTCAGGGGCTGCTGGTAGCTTGCCCCCAGCCATGCAGGCAGGCTCCTTGAGGGGAAGAAAAAAAAAAAGGATTGGGACCCTCATCACTTTAATTTGTTTTTTCTCATTCAGCCCCTGAGTGCAGTGTGGGGGGAGGTCCTTCCCTCCATGGTGGCAGCAACCCTCAGGGCTGCCTGGGCAGAGTGCTGGTGTGCGGGTGCTGCCCCAGCTCACAGGCAACATCTGACCCAATCCAATGGTGCATGGGGTGCTGGAAGCCCGGGCCTGCTCGGGGAAGTTCAGGCTTGATGGGCTTCCAGCACCTCATGCACTGTTCCTGCCACCTTCCTGCGGCCTGGGACTGCCTAGGAACAGGCTGGCTTGCCCCTGGGGCAAAGCAGAAAGGTGGCAGGAGGGTGACTAGGTTTGCTGGCAGCTGAAGAAGGTGGCAGGGACAGTGTATGGGATGCTGGAAGCCCGTCAAGCCTGAGCTTCCCTGAGCATGCCTGAGCTTCCAGCGCCCTGTGCACCATCCCCATCACTTTCTCTGGCTTCCAGCACAGCCAACTGCCCTCCTGCCACCTTCCCGCACTGCCCCAAGGCAAGCCAGCCCAGTCTGTTCCTGGGGCAGCACAGGGAGGCAGCAGGAGCTGTGAGACATGTACACTTGACTGATTTTTTTAAATTTGACTAGATCAAACTAAAATACATCAGAGGTCTAAGATGCCACATTCAAAGAAATTTTGTCACGAAAAAATCATGCACGTTTACATGGTGATGCCATTACATTAGACAAATAGCAATTTCTCATCACTTTTTGTCACATATACATGGCCTCATGATCACATGTACAAGCGCCCCATAAGATTATGGTTACCTCTGATTTATTGCTGAAAAATCAACATTTTTTTCAGAATCTATGAAGATATAAAAAAAAAAATTCTTAGCCAGTTATTGATGAGTAATCACTAGTTGAGCTGAGTTGCTTGCTTTCTATTTGTTGAAGAAGTCCTATTATATTGTTTTGGTTAAATGAGTGCACAAGCCCTAATAGCACACATTCTCACCTGTGACTTTAACATTGTTTGTGTAATTACTTATGCATATAGCTTTGAAACTTGTTTTTCTTTCCATTTCTCCCTCCCTTCATATAGCAAACATTTGCTATGTTACGCTTTCTTTTGTATTATGGCAGCACCTACCAATTTCAACCAAGGTCAGCCAAGGTTGTGTTAGATGCTGGACTAACAAATAGTACATAAGAATTTGATACTTAAGAATTTAAAGAAAGAAGACAAACAGTGTGATAAAAAAGTATTCTTTTTCTCTTGTATGTAGATCAAGAACTGAGGTACAGAGGGATTAAATCACTTGCAAGAACATACTCTGGACTCTTTTAAGAAACATTTGGACACCTGTCTTGCTGGGATCCTTTGACCCTAGCTGACTTCCGGCCTCTGGGCAGGGGGCTGGACTCAATGATCTTCCAAGGTCCCTTCCAGCCTTAATGTCTATGAAATCTATGATTTACCTTACACAGGAAATATGTGGCAAAGAGAACACAGCTCCATTTCATTGCCTTATCTATATGACCACCCTTTCTCTTTTGAACAGATACATTCTGAGACCATCATGCATTTCTTATTGATATTTAGCAGACAGATCAGCTTTGACCCTGCAAACTCAATAGGTCTGTTCACATGTCTAAAGGTAAATATTTGCATGTATATTTGCAGGGTCAGAACCTTATCCTGTCATACAAAATAAAGTATCCTTGTCCTTTTAAGATCAATGCTTTTCCCTTTGTCCAGAGGATGAGTTGTTTTTCCCCCAATAAAAGCAAATTCAAAGCCAAATGCATTTGATCCTTTGTTTGTTTGTTTGTTGGATAAACAGGACTCTCTGGTTTGTGACCTGTATAACAATAGTGCTAGTAATGGTTAGTGTAAGTTGTTCAAAAGTAATTTAATTAACAGTGATTTGTGACATTATTTGCAAGTTTTCATTTTGTGTGTTAATAACACATTGCATACTTTAATGTCCTTATAATTTAGTATCAAATCACCACATACAATCTTATTGTTGGTGAATTCATTAAAAAAATAAAACATTCTTTTCAGATTAGGGGTACACCAATAGAGATTTTGGGGGCCAAAACCAATAGACAATTTTTAAGGAAGCATATCACCAATACCAATCCAATTTCCAATACAGCTGTGTGCAGCAGGTAAGTCCATTGTGGTGGAAGGGGAGGAGGAAGGGAAGAGGCATGGGGGGGCAGATCAACGCCCCCATGGTGAGGGAGGGGGCAGGGGCAGGCACTGCCCAGCTGGAACGGGGCACAGGATGGAGCCACCTATTGTAAAGGGGGGGGCAGCCCCTGCCACTGTGTGCACCCTGGGAGGACATGCGGGATGGGGGGCGTGCCCTCAGATCGGGGCGGGGCGGACGGGTTGCAGCTGCGGACTGGAGCCCGAGCTGTGCTGGGCTGTTCTTGTTGGGAGCTGGTCTCTGGGCCAGGGCTACAGAGAGGGCTGCAGCCACCCCAAATTTTGCTGTAGCCCTGCTTCCAGTGCTGATGCCTGCTTGGCGCAGCCCTGGCTCTTCCCAGTGCATGGGTAGAGGCGAGGTATTGAGCCAGGGCTGTGCCGGGTGGGTGGTGGTGGTGCTGGGATTCAGGCTACAGCAAAATTTGGGGTGGCTACAGCCTCCTCCA